AAGCGGCCCCGGCTCCCCTGCGGCCGGGCCCAGGTTTGCACCGCGCTGCGGGGCCGTAGCCATGCCCGGAGCACCCTGGCTCTGCCTTGTGGGACCGGGGACTTTCCTTTCGCTTAGCATGGGCTAAACCAAAATAACAGTAGGGGAGAGACATAAAAGCGCCACCGTCCTCTACCCCGATAGGAGAATAAAACTCCTCCTGGCAGCTCTCCTTCCTTCCAGTGCCAGCCCAGGTTTGCACCGCGCTGCGGGGCCGTAGCCATGCCCGGAGCACCCTGGCTCTGCCTTGTGGGACCGGGGACTTTCCTTTCGCTTAGCATGGGCTAAACCAAAATAACAGTAGGGGAGAGACATAAAAGCGCCACCGTCCTCTACCCCGATAGGAGAATAAAACTCCTCCTGGCAGCTCTCCTTCCTTCCAGTGCCAGCAGAATAGGGTGCCCAGCAGAATAGGGTGCCCCGTTGCCCAAGAGCAGCCTGTGACGGAGGCTGCAGCCTCTGCGTGCCTGTTTTGAAGGGAACAACTTGGTCTGCCCCATGGAGTTTATCACACTCCTTTCCATTAGGAGTGTGGTCACAGGAAAGGCTAAGTTTCCCTCTCTCCCACTTTATGGTCTTCATAATGGCTAGGCCCAGCCTCCTAGCTCCACTCAGGCTTCATAATTTGCCAATACCAGTGTCTTCACCTGTGTTTACCTGTATACCTTGTATTTACCTGTACACCTTTAGGCATTCTGCCTGGAGGTCGGGCCGTGTGTCACATACTGACCCACGCTGGTCTAGATCACACAGCCTGCCATGCAGCCGCAGTGCGGAGCCCCTGATGGAGGCCTTGGAGAGGAGGCTCCCCTGCAAGGGGCATCAGGAGAGGCTCTGAATGGCACCAAAAATGAAGCTACCCAAACAGAAAATGTAGAGAGTCCTGGGGAAACAGGTAAGCTCTTCCAGCTGCCTAGCTAGGCAAATATTGTGAATATTTAACAATATATTTTTGTGTGCATATTCTGTAGTTTACCAATGTAAGAGCTGGAATTCAAATCTTTTTTTTTCACTTTTTCTAAGTGTCAGAACTGCAGGTACAAGTAGAAGGTGCAGAGAAAGAATCTGAAGAGAAAATTATGGAAGATGTAATTAATCAAAAGCAGCCTGAAGACATTTTGAATGAGTATAGCACTGGAGACACCATAAGAGTGCAAAATGGTAAACTTGTAGAAGACAAGTCTAGTAGTAGTAGACTACAAACATCTGCAATTTTCAACATAATGCAGATAAGCCATTACATGCAAAATTAGCAATCATGAACCTCAAATTATCAGTATTTGAATGTGATGTATAAAAGGTGTCCAAATCTGCATGAACTTTGGTACCAGTACCTTATTGTCACTATATATTATAATAATCCTTCTTAAGATGAATGGATACTGCTCCTCAGAATTGACTTGCAGAACTAAACAAGAAATGCATTATTGCAGTATTTATATCTTATTTTACTAAGTTTACCTTAGAAAAAATTATCAGTTTCATTTCAATAAAAATGTCAGTAAAAATCTTGGTTAGAACACTTTTTTTTTTTTTTTTCTTGAAATGTATATTCAAGTGTCCGGAACACATCAACAGAATGAACAAAAACCAGATGGTGATCACAAATCAGTAACCAGCTCATTCAGTCAAAAGAAAGAAGAAAAGGATGGCTGTATAAGGTAATTTATTGGCTATTGATGTTTATTTAAATCCAGGCATCATTCCTCCTTCAAAAACCCCACTCTGGGTTTTGCTGTCCATTTCACTGCATTTCACTGGCATCTGCAGCTTCCAACCTCTATGGCCAACATCAACCACTGTAGGCAACTGGCCCAAATTCTTTCCCCTTGGAGCCTCTGCTATTTCATTCTGTAGGTTTTTGCTCACTGCCTCTTGCTGAGTCCCTCACCCCTGCACTGCACATCTGCAGCGCTCAGCTTCACTGATTAGTCTTTTCTGGCTTCTCACTTGCATAAATCCTCAAAGGGATGGAGCTGAATATTAAGCAGTTACCACTGAACAGGTGTTGTTTATGTTCCTCCTGTGGCATTCCCAACCTATCACAGTTCAGTATTTTGTATTTCTGCGTGATATTTCAGTGTCAGTGTTTCATTAAAATGTTAGGTTGATAGCTACTGATTTTCTAGACTGAGATCCTCATTCTGTGTGGGTGTTGCGTGGTCTCTGTGCCACCGAAGGTTCCGCATCAAAACAGCAAGAAATGGAGGGAACAATAGGAGAGGAAGGAACAAGAACCTACGAAAGGATCATTCTTCTGTTATCCAGGGAGATAAACTCTCTAATTCCGTACCTACTTTCCAACTTGCTCCCCTCTCTATATATATAGACGTAGGAAGAGCCTTGTAACACATTTTAAACATAGAAATGGAAACCATTCTAAGAAAATCTACAGCTTGCTTAGTTTGCATATAGTCTTGAAATCTGTAGATTTTCTCTTATATAAAAGAACCATTAATTATGTTGTATTGAACTCTGAATAAAAGAAGATTTCAGAGTGTGCACTGAGATACATTTTTAGTTTATTTCTGCTTCCCTTTATTATTTCAGAATGACAAAAAAGGTCCTGCGAGACATCTGTAAGCAGCAGAAATTGTACTTGACCCCATCCTTAAATGATACACTTTACTTGCATTATAAAGGTAAGATAGCCTCTGTGTCTTAAAATACCGATCTGGATCACGTTTGGAGGAAAATATGTGTTCTTCATTTTTAAATGTGTTTGTGTAAGTAATCTATTTTCCACCTTAGGAACTTTTTGGACAGTAAAAATAAATATGGTCAGGAAGAAGGCCATAAACACTAAATACAAATGAGATTCTGTGGTACTAACGAAGGATAAAACACTTGATAGAATGAATGTGGGTCATTGCCTTGTGGTTGGTGAGCAGTTTTCTGAAAGATACAATTAGCTTGTTCACTACAGCTTAAAACTGTTACAAATAAATAGGACATGTTAAACCTACTTTCTACATTTGGTCTTGGTTTTGCTATTTTCTCCACATGTTATTATTTATCATTTTAAAGAACCTACATGTTTCTCATGTGATGTTGCCATCAACTTGAACCCAAGCCTTCTAAGCAAGTGTACCAGCAACACTGGTTTAATGGAAATGACTCTTCCAAACACTGATGTTCAGCAAATGCAGTATTATCTAAAGACATTTTACATTTTTTCTCTGCAGGTTTTGACCGTCTGGAGAATCTTGAAGAATATACAGGATTGAAGTGCTTATGGCTGGAATGCAATGGCTTAGCAAAAATTGAGAATTTGGAAGCTTTGACAGAGTTGCGCTGTCTCTACTTGCAACTGAATTTAATTAATAGAATTGAAAACCTGGAAGCCTTACAAAAGCTGGATTCCCTCAATATTAGTAACAACTATATCAAGACCATTGAGAATCTCTGTAAGAATTGTTGATGCGACATTTAACGTAAAACACACCCATTTTCCTAACCTTTGACTGTTTTTAGTGGCAATAGTTTTCAGGGATTTTTTAAAAATACATATTAAATTCTTGTACAGTATCTCATCCCAAAGACCACAAGGCTTCTCTTGAAGTCAAACCTATATACTTTCCACTTGGAACAGAGGAAAAAATGGAAAAGATGTAATAATTTCTCACACATGGATACCTCAAACAATTAAGTTTTTCCACGCTTCTTAATACTGCCTCAGTACTTACCTGTGTTGCAGACATGCTGACAATCCAGTTTTTGCTATTTACAATTAGGATTGCCTTTGGCAGTTGCAGACATGATTACCAAATCTCTTACGTCTATGAAAGGATTTATCCCATCTTCAGCAGAAAATAAAAAATAATTTCTGTATATAAGCAATAACTTGAAAAAGATACTCTTGCTTTTGTACAAACTCACTTGTTTGAAACTTGAGTTAAAATGCCCAGCCATCCTAAAACAACCATTTTTCTAGTGGAGGTGAAAACAGCTTTGAAGGAATAGCCAATAAATATATGTGGCAGATTCAACAAATGTATAGAAAACTCCCCACAATTCAGTATTAAACAGTGATGTTGAAAATACAGTTTTCTGCTTTCTGCAGAAAATCCTTTGTGAAGGATTGACTTTTACCTTCCCTTTAATTGTACTGTTCTTGTCTGACAGCTTGCCTGAAAGTCCTGCACACTCTGCAGATTGCACACAATAAATTACAAACAGTGGAAGACATACAGCACTTGCAAGAATGTCCAAGTATTTGTGTCCTTGATCTTTCCCACAACTACCTAGATGATCCAAATATTATATCTGTTTTGGAGGCCATGCCTAATTTGGTAAGCAGAGTGTAGCTGAGGGTTTGTCATTTTTATGAGTCAACATCCTATTAAATGGTTTTACCAGTATCATCTTCTGGGTCTGCGACCCAAAACAAATTTTATTAAAATAGCTTCATCTGTGATTGTAGATGGATAGTTTATTTATTTGTTTTTGAAGTGATAGTGCATATCTAAATAGGTGGGGTTTATTTTTCCACTCAAAATGTTTCTTTTGCTTTTCTAGTGTGTGCTTAATCTCATGGGAAATCAAGTGATAAAGAAAATTGCTAATTATAGAAAAACACTTACTGTTCGACTAAAACAGCTAACATACCTGGATGACAGACCAGTTTTCCCAAAAGATAGGTAAGAAACAGAGACATCTTCTTTAGAGAGCAATAAAGCTCAAATGCAACAATCAATATTTTCAAAGGAAGACTAACCACTATAATTTATTGAGGGAAAGTGATTTTGAGTACACTAGTATTATACTACAGAGATCTGCATTCAACATAAGAAAAAACACATTTTTTTCAATAAAATTAATTATTGAACAAGTATTTTACATAAAGTCTGTATAGCAGAGACAAATTATAATCTCAGCTGAGACTGAACAGATGCCTGGGAAAGCAGAGCCAAGATCAGCACTTCTCATGGATCTGCTTTTGCAATTATTAGCATTTGCATATCTTTGCTTTGTTTCATTGTAATTACACGTGCAAGATAAATGTGGTCCAGTTGCTTAAGGGATTGTCAGTGCTGCCTTTCTTTTCTGTTGCAAGATTTCCAAATTTCTCTTTCATTATGAACGTGAGCTTTTAAACCTACTTACGGTGGTTTCTTTTGTTTTTCATTAGAGCCTGTGCAGAAGCCTGGGCGATTGGAGGGCTTGAAGCTGAGAAAGCAGAAAGGGAAAAATGGGAAACCAGAGAGAGGAAAAAAATCCAAGATAGTGTCAATGCTTTAGCAAGAATCAGGAGAAAGGCAGAGGAAAAGAAAAGACAAAAGTATATGGAAGAAAGAGATGCAAGTGCAAAGCGTGAAAACAGAGATGTAAACGAGCCCCGAGAAGGTTGGTTGTTAGTATTTTGGGAGAAAGTTGTGTTTGTGCCTGCTTCAGTTTGAATATTTAAAACTAGTTAATAGTTCTCAAATGCTCGTAAGCAGGATGATGCAATTTTTTTCATATACTTAATTTTTTTTCTGAACTTGAAAAGCTTTTAAACAAACATCACCTTTCTCACTGACAAACAGACAAACAACAACAACAAAAAAAACTAAACACTTCCTGTCTCAGCTTTTTAAGCCATTGTGTTTTACCTCAGAGCAACCAAACCTGATCACACAAGCCAAGAACCCAAATCTGTACGTGGTCAAGTACTAAAAGACTTACATCCCTGGGCAAGGCAATAACAGTCCCAACAGTCACTCAGAGAAGGAAACAGCCAGAGACACCACAGGAGCAGTATTTTCCCTAGATATAGCTTGGGCCTGGCCTGAGTATGAGCTCTAGGGAGACCCAGGGATAACTGCCTTGCCAGTTCACATCCAGGTACCTCTGCACTGCTACATTCACTCACAGGTAACAACTTGAGGCCATCCACAGCATTGATAATGCAGGCAGTATGAGGAAGACTTTTAAGGACCTCCTTCACTTATTGCCATTCCTCATGCCACAGATTCTCCTGTCACATTATTCAAGATGGCATAAATTCATGAACAAAAATAGTCCCCAGCCCAGCTTTCTGTAAGAGCATGTGTTTCAAGATCAGCAAGACAGAAGCCAAATAAGAAGGGGGTTACAGTGCAGAGGAGGATTCATTTGATAATTTTTGTGGTTTTACAGTCTCTGAAATGTAATTGAATAACAAGTAAAACTTGTTCTGTGAACTAGTAGCTTGCGTAAGGGAGAGAATAACTTCAGTAGACTTGTCACAGATTCATCAAAATGCTCAAGCATGTATTTAAGTGTAGACACTTGGGCATCTTCCCAAAGTGAACGGCTCAAAGGTAACTGTGGATACTGGACTACTTCAGTGCGTTTCTAGAGGAGGCTTTTCCTGGGGAATTCTTTATGACATGGAAAATCCTCAACGTGGCTGCAATTGATACATGAATGACTGTTCAAGCAGAGGCTTTCGATGTACATTTTAGGCCAAACTTTTAAGACTGAAATTACAGTCGCAGTGTCTAGAATGAAAACTGGCCAGTTAACTCAGTAATTTTAAATAACTTCTTCTGTAGGAGCATCTGCAAGTTCAGATGAGAGTGATGGAACTTCTAATGCATCAGAACTATCAGATGTATCAGAAGAAGCAGAAACTCAACAGAAGATTGAGCAATCTGTAAATGAAAGGTTTGATGCTTACGATGAAGCAGTAACGCTGCCCTCAGACACAGAAGATTACACAGATTTCCCCTCTGCATATATTCCTGCTAAAATTAAAGAGGATGCACTAGGATCAAATTCATACAACTGCTCAAACTTCAGCAGTAAGGCAAACGGTAATGTGCACAGTGAAGAATCAAACCAAGCAGAGGAAATACAGATGATGAGCTAAACTCTGTCTTAGCGTAGCTGCCTTAGTGGTTTTTGTGCTGTTAAAAATAGAATGCTTTTTGATGTTTATATATGAAATACATTATTAAATATATATATTAATGTATGCAGTATAAGATAGATATGATAGAAAGGAAAGCTCTGAATTTAGCTGTGAATTCTGTGACACTAATTAGGTCCATGGCAATTAGGTTCTGCAGTGCTTTCATGGCAACATGCAAAGTCATGTGTTCAGTTAGTTCTCTGTTCCAAGGAATTTCTTATTCTGTAGATTTGCCAGGAGGGAAGATGGTTCCTGAAGTGGATGACTGTGCTGAAAAAGAACAAATCAAACTGGGGACACCAGAGAAACTTCTTCTTGACGTATGTATTAGATTCAGATTTTGAGAAGTTTGTATTTGGATATGGCCAACTCCCAAATGCATTCTTGTAACATTCTTGCTGAATAGAAGAGCATAATCAGGTTTCTAAGACTGATGCTCTCAGAAAAGTAAATAACAAGGAAAAAATAGGAAGGTTGTAATGTTACTCATCCTCTCCAACACAGCATGCCAAACGAAATTACCACTGCTTCCAAAGTTTATTTTGTGCTTTGATCTCCTGAAGTTGACTCTTTAGCTTTGGGATTTCTTTGAGGAAAAGTTAATAAGAGCCTTCATTTAAAGAATATAAGTCACAATAAAAAGAATCTAGTGGATAAATGTATCCTATTAGACAAAACTCAATCAAATATGTAATTAAGAATGTTAGCTACTGCACAAAATCATAGCTATCTAACATTGCAAATGTTAGTGATATTATATATCTAATTTTCAAAATCCAAATGTTAGGTATATTTCCAAAAGAGGCAGAATATGCATTATTCATATATATCATAAATGATTAACATTTTAAAAATGCTCTTCTATTATCTAATGTTTCTACCTGCTGATGCAAACATGTAAACACGTTTCACAGAAGACATACACAATATCACTGAAAAATACAACCCAACTGCCAAGGACTGTTCAACATTTGCTAAATACGACACTACTACTAAACTGACCACATCAGATTACCATGCTAGTATCAACAGCAAACTTTTGAGCTTATGATTTCCCTGAGCACTTAATATATTCTTTGATCCCTTATATAGTTACTGTTTACCAAATTCTAACTGTGTTTTAGGAAGGTATTTTATGTCCTTTCTGTGTTCTCTCTAGGAAGATTTCCCATCCGGTTATACAAGGGCTCAACTCACTGCTTCAGTAGAGTGCTAATTACTGCACCCACCAAAGATAGTTTGGATCTTTTTAATTATAAGAATAATGAGAAAATTCGTGGGATCTCACAGCAATTATGGGAACATACAATACAGTTTTTATAGGCTATTCTTTCAGTGTCTAAAATAAAAGCACTAAATAAATAGCAGTACTGTAGGTACCCACAGTGTGACGATCTGAGAGATTCAGTGCCATTTTTTCTTGGTACCTTATGGCACATAGCAAGCTCCTTTGCACACTTCAGCATATGTGCATAAAGCACCTTTGACATGTAAGAAGTGTGAATATCCTATTTCAACAGAGAACAAAAACACAAAAAACAAATCACATACTAATACACATTGCAGTCTTCCATGCTACTCCTTTCTCCACTTGTTGTTTAATAATGAAAGGAGGTTTTGGCAAGAGCCTCCAGTACTTACGCTACTGCAGATTTTCCGGAGATACTTAGCATTGACATGTTGGGGAATGAGCGTGGAGACGCCGGTGGCAAGATGCTCCAGAAGAGCACTGTGCTCTTTATTCATATGCTGGGTTCTGTAACTTGTCTCGGTAGTGATATAAGGGAGAAGAGTGGAGGAGGATTTGTCACGCAGTTGTGACATTCCTCAGTCAAGCAGAAACAAGCCACAGGTACTTTCAGCTGTGGACTAACTGGAAGTTGTTCAACAGGAACTAGTGTTTATGCGTATTCCTTGGCTATGCATGAATTATATTCTAAGTTTCTAAAACACAATAACTTTTAGTAAAAAGTTTGGGATGCAGGCACATGTTGACTGCAACAGGACTTAACAGCTATTTCACTTCTGCATTGACACCAAGTTCACCCATTTAGCATTGGCCTCCAAATCTTAATTTTTACATTTTTTTTCATATTTTATATAGCTTTAGATGAATTCAAGACATGCTGCACTAGCCACAACCTTATAAAGAAACAGAAATTTAATTTGTTGATTTTAATTCTGTAGCATTATTCACCCAGCAGCACAGTACAGTTTATACACAACTGATTTGATCTTCTTGATGCTGTTATGCCAGCAAACTTGCTACATAATTAGTAACCTCTAAAAATATCTTATTAAAGGAGATGCTTTTGCCAGTACTGTTCTACATTAGAGTATGTCAAAAATGTGTTTTTCTGGTTAGAGCTAAAGTTTCCCACTGATCTTGTGATTATCTTCAGGAGTTGCCTGATTTAGAAGATATAGAAGTTCCAAATGCTCCAAAAGAGGAAATCTTTGTTCAAAAGGTAACATTCTCTTCAATTCCAGTGATGATGCTTCTTCAAAACTATTTAGTGATGTCTTTCAAAATGAGGATAGCCTAAATTATGTAATGCTGTTTTGAGAAATGTGATCAGTTAATGTTATAAACTAAAACAGAGGTTTCAGCAGATCTTCTCTAGCCACTTTTAATCTTTTTCATATAATGCAATAGCATTGTAGAAAATAGGAGAATGAAAAACTAAAAGTAATGCAACAATCAAGTAAGATTAATTCCTATTAGCATATCATGTTTCCATGAATATTACCAATAAAATGTACTGTACTACTGTGTTGTAGTGAACTGAATGGATTGTACAAATTGCCTAATACTTAAAGCATAGATAGATCCAGACTCCATGGCTCCACTTCGAGCTAGTCAGGTTTAGGGTAGTTCCAACCCCATTAATTCATTCCGACATTAATGTGTGTTGCTCAATTTAATTTGCTAGATAAAATAGGACAGAAACAGAAGAGAAAAGAAGGAGGAAATCAACAAAGATGAAAGGCACTGCTGTGATTCTGGTGCTGTCATTTACTCATACTTACCTTGCTGGACCTAGGCTAGTACAGGACATGTTTTTACAACTTGATCGAAAATACTGTAAATCTTTACTACACTCCTTAAGTGTAAGGTATTCATTTTATTTAATTTTTTGCTCACAGACTCACATTAATGTTGTAAAATAAGAAATTGGCTAACAGTTCAATTACACAGAAGGTAAGAGAGAAATCAGAAAAAAAAAGGGCAGGGAACAAGGAGGATTAATAAGGGAGTTACCAACTCTCATATCCTGAAGGTGTTAATTAGGTCCCTCTATTCGGATAGGACCTGGTTAAGTCATGTCTTATAAACAGCACTGGCAAGGCTCAATAGAATCACAAAATTTAGTACATTGCTGCGTCAGTAATAATTACTGAAATGCAATTCTTTTTATGATTATTAGTTATTACTTTATAGTCAGTTCACAGCTGCTGCCTGATAAACAGTTAACATCATCAACAAAAGAAGAAGAAACAACAAAAAAAGTAGAAACAAGCACATCTATATATCTGGGGAGAGGAGCAGGTCAAAGCTGACAATTGTTGCATGACTCCAAGAGATCTTAGTTATCTTTTAATGTTTATATCTAAAAACCTATCTTTTTGATTGTAATTTCTATTTTTACAGCATGAATATCATCCAAAGATTGAGATAATTTCTGAAACAGTAAATGAGAGTGACTCTGCAGTAGAAAACAGTAAAAGCACATTTGGGAATTCAGTAGAAGAGGTTCCAACAGCAATTTTTTCAAATGTGTGCAAGATACGTGAAGATCATGAAAAGGAGATCCTAAGACCCATCGTTGAGGGCTTGGTTATGGAGCCTTCTGATTCAGAAAGGGACTTGGAGACCAAAGATAAACAAGAAAACCTGCTGAAACCTCTCATTCAAGAGATTATCACTGAACCTAAGGATACTCTACTGTTGTCATCAGTCTGCAATCATCCAGATGATAAAAGCCCACTGGAAGGGGACAGCAATATTACAGTTTCTTGCCATGGTAAGATCACAGTGATATAACCATAAAGGAAAAAAGAAAGGAGGAGTAGCGCACACAATCTAAAATTAGGGATTTTTTTTCAGCCCTTGTCAGCATAATTCTTGATCCAATATCTTCTTAATAGTTACCTCTTCAATTTGTTTTTGTGGAAATCCTAATAGATTAAGAATTAAAATAGTATTTCTGACTTTGACACAGAAGTTCTTCTTGAGTTTCATTGAAATTATTTTTAAAGGAAAAATAGGATAGTACACTTATTTTTTTTCAATATTAACGGCCACCACTCAGTTTCATTTGCATTTGCCTTCATGCTTTAACAGGGAATGGCAGTGATGGAGAAGTGCAGTGCCTGGCTGAGAGTGGAACACGCCCCCATGAACCACAAGATAACAAGGACAGTGAGTGTGGATTTGATTAATCAATTAAAAAAAAAAAAAAAAGACCAGGTTTAGAGTACAGTGCCTGGCTGACTGCATACAGTTATTTTCAAAATCTAAATTTAGGAAGGTATCCATTCATTAAAATTGGCATAACACTTATATATTAAAAAAAAGAGTGCCTTTAACATGAGGACTGTTAGGATTTCAGTCAGTCATAGGCTGATACAGCCTCTGGCATATGACCTGCAAGGCAGATTTTCTGGTTTTGTTAGCATGAAAGTTCGTAATCTTACATAACCTACAGGTAACAAGTGCCTTTTGCCCTTCCTTTTGAAGGTGCTAAAAATCTCTAGGTTCCAAGCTCTTTATGGCAGCTGGGAATGTTCAATACCTTTGAAAATTGGGGCACTACTGTTTTAGATTAAATTCCCACTCTCTGTTATGTGATTTCTTTTCCCTTGCATCCTTATAAAAATGACTTAAAAGTTTTATCTTCTGCTTTCATTACTTACATAGCCTCAATCCATAGTGTTACATACTCATTTCTGCTATTTAAATAAAAATTCTATTTAACCTGTCATTTTTCTCTTGTATCAAGTCCTCGTGAATATGTCATACAAGATAGTGTTTGTGGCAGTGCTGCTCCACGTTTTTTTAAAGGATCATTTTTTAAATGATTCATAAACAATTGTTTAAACAAAAATGGCGCAGAAGTGGTGTCCATGCATGCAAAATATGATTTTACCTTTAAAGCAAATACCTTCATGTGCCATTTTTGCATTTTTTCTTTATAATACACGTCTTGGGATCAGGATTTCGGGTATAAAGGGAAGATAGTCCCAATAGTGACAGAAGGACATTTTTGCAATAAAAAAACAGACCAGAGGAAATCATCTTTCATTAACTTCTCTTTTACTTGGCAGTAGTAACTTTGCGCCAAAGCTACTTTTCCCAACACAGAAGTGGCCGTGGTAATAAGACAGAAAAATAATTGTATACTGGCTAAGTACACCAGAAAAAAAGATGGCCACATCCTCAGGGCTGATGTTTTTATGACCAAACCAACACTGGCAACATCAGAAGAGTAGAGGCTACATATCAGATTACTTCATTAAACCATAATCAAGTTAAGGTTTTTTTTTTTCCTTTCATAATTTTATAAGACACTAGTAATCCATAATAAATAGAATGAAATGGGCCTTGTAGAGGTGAACATTTAAAAAAATGTGTTGAAAAGGTTTATTTCTGATCAGTTGGGTACATCTAGTGACAGGAGAGAAGGTAGGTTAGGTAGGTACCTTCTTTAAAAATAAAGAAGAAAAATAAATCTGTCTCCAAGTTAATTTGGCCCATATTATAACTTATAAAATTAGTTCCAGGAGTGAAATTAGAGCTCAAATATCAGTGAAGACAAGGCAAAAGGATAAAAGATACACTTTTTAAACAGGGATGATCTCAGTCCCACAGCCAGTGAGTGGGCCCTGTGCTCTCTTACAGGTAAACCTCTTGAAACTTGTTTTTCCTTATTGGTGAGGACTTGAGAAGGAAGAAGGGGGCGGAGGGGAAGGCGTGAGAGAAATGCCAAAGCAGGACTGAGTGAGAAAAAGGAAACATTTAATTAGTGTTTTCTGTAAAACTTTACAAATGTACAGCATAGGGAAAAAAAAAATCAGTCTCAGCACATCATCTTCAAGTCAATGAAACAGTGTAACAAGCTAAGGAACACCAGCTTGCTTCTTCACAGGAGTGATTCTAGAATACTGTTCCTGGGGGTTCCTCTCTCACCAGCAACATCCAATCTCATGTTTATAGTACAGCAAAAAGCCTATAAAAAAAAAATAAGAAAACCACCATCCCGGATTGGCTTCTGGCAGCAAGTGCAGTCTAAGAGTTGGCACTAAAAAGTGCAGTTGAAGTTGGTGTCGAGCATCCTTGTCGACTGAGCTGCACATTTTTGCTTGCAAGCAGCTATCCTGAGATGGTTCATTTTTCAACCAAAACTAGGCAAATCCGTAAGAAACTGAAGCACATGTCTAACTTTGAGGTTACGACAGGCTTAGTAAAATAAGGACAATTAGTCAGAAGCTCCAAGTTACGCATGTGCTTAAATACCTATTGGATCTATGCGTTCAATGTTAACATCAAGGGTATCTAGCATGTGAAGATACAGAGAAGGATGTAAATCTTTTGCAGATAGTCCTGTCAGGCGTGGTGAGACACCAGACAATTTCCAATTTGCTATGAGAAAAGAAGGAAATGGAGCACAACTGAACAAATTTTAGCTCTGTACATTGCTGGACATCACATTATATAGTGGCAAATGGGCTGATCCAGAAGAACTTTCTAAGCAGAAATCTGTCAAAAAAAGAAACCGTGCCCATGATACACTCAAGCATCATCTAAATACCAGGCAGAGCTGCCAGAATTTTCCCTTAGTCCCAAACACAACAGCAGTGGCAATTTAGGAGGTTGCACAATCTCACTTCTACAGAGACTCCACCGCTCCGGGCTGGCAGGAGCTCCTGGCAGGACTACTTCCCTACTTAGCTGGGAAAAAATGTGCTCCAAGTTGAGCATTCCCGAGATAACACATCTGTTCACACACTCATAAATGGATGGAGAAAGGGCTGCAACAGGAAAGTCCATTTCAAATACGCTTATCCTATTAAGGAGAATTTGAGTCTGTGTTTATCTGATTACATTTTGGGGTGGATGCTCAGCCATTCAAGATGCTCAGAAGCATCTTGGTGGTTTGGTACCACAACTCATGGCATTGAAGGCAGGCAGAGCATTTCTGCAGATGCCATTGGCAGGGCTCATACCATGTCCAGGCCCCTGGAAGGCCCCAGTTAGGTCTGAATTTTCTGAGTCTGCCCTTGAGTAGCTGGCCCAGTGGCTTTCTTAAGGAAATGTAACTTAATTAGGGAGTACTGCAATAAATAATATGTGGTAAAATCCACAGTTCTCATTAAAACTACGGCATAAAAAAACAAAGCTCTGCTTTGTTGAGAAACTCACTCATCAGAAACCACATGGGAGAGGGAGAATAATTCAGCCTTTGCAGTCTCAAAGGACACACACAAAGGATAGAAGAAAAGTCAGCGGGACATTGTGGACTAACCCTTCTGCCTTTCGCCTCTGAAAAGCGGGTACCTGCAGCCCTTCTAAAAGAGGGCTCCAAATGACTGAACTGGTTCCTCAGTGGTCACCTGGAAAGAGGTCTTACCCCAAGGGAACTTCATTTTCATGCTCAGCCTGGGGGCATAAGGGAGAGGCACAAGTACATCCCATAAAAAAAGATGACAGCATTTTTAGAGCACTGGGTTGACATATAGAGCCAATCTCCTACAAGAAAAAAAAGGATTCAGAAGGCCCCTGCATCTCTGTGCTGATCTGTGCTGCCCCTACAAAACCCTAACGTGTTTTTGCAGATACTAGTTGGGATTGCTTTATTTTACAAAGTCCCTGATAGACTTCCTTGTGACCCTTCACTCAAATTCTCAGAAGGATTTTCTTAGTAGTTCTGAAATTTGAAAAATAATGACCCTCCTACCCCCAACACACACCCAAAGGCAACATTTTGTTTTAAAATTATTGCTCTAGACAAACACTGAAATTCAGGGGTGGAGAAGGTAATGCCACAGCTACTGACCATTTCCAACTACTCAGAAAGAAAGGGCACGACTCTGTGGTGGGTTTCTGAGTCACTTTTGTCTCTTTACATTCAAACCTGTAGCTGCTTGGATGGATGGGAGGGCGATGCGACCATCTTGGAAGCTAAATCACTGGCTGTTGTCAGTTGAAGCACTCAGGTTTAACGGGATATCACCCTGGACAGCTGCGGAGGACAGGTAAGGAGCCATGTTTGCCGACGGAACGTAAAGTGCTGAACTTTCGGGCAAGCTGATAATGTCATTTCCAAAGATTGGCTGACGATCAACAAGGAACTGCTGGGTGCTTTCAAGAATGACATCTTTCCCTGGGAATGCAAACAGACAACACAGAACTCAGTTTCTGGAAGGCAATCCATTGGGGTTTAGGAATTCAGGGAAGTGGCAAATCCCCACGGAAATCAGCAGGAGGTGAGGGGCTCGAGTACAGAAAAAAAGTGCTTGGAAAAACTTGAGCAAAACTTGCCCTCCTTCAAGAGCCCATTGAAATCAGTGGAGGTCGTTGCAGGTTGCCTAGGTGGGGTCTGCACAAAGAGCTGAGATGCCTCAAGGAACGGAGAGGGGGACGACCAAATAGCCAGAGACTCCAAGCAGTGGGATAAGAGCAGTTCTTTTCTCCCTCAGCCAAAAACTTTCTATTTTTCCTTGTCTCTGCAGAAGGAGAAATCTGCCAGCTGCCCCTTATTGCAGCATCGTGTCACTGCGTGCACGAGAGAGACCGGGGACTCTCCTCTCTCGCAGCTCAGCCCGGCCTGCTGAGGAATTCCTCTGTTGCTCGTGCAAGACATTGGGCTGAAAACCCTTAATTTCACTTCAATCACCACACTGCTTTTAAGTGGTTATGAACAGGCAGAAGAAACAGTGGAAATCTGAGGATGGATGGGTATGATGTGGTTCCAATTACACAGAGGCAGTTTAATTCTATTTAAACTTTTGAATATTCCCCATACTTTCCCCATTGCTCAATAACTACCTTAGCAGTTGTGGGGAGATATTGCTGATCACCATGAAAGTGAAGTATCAAAGGTTGTGGGAGCTTTTTCCCCTCAAAGTGGCAAATGGTCAGTGCTGGACATTGCATCGAGCTGCTGGCACCTTAATTACCTCCCCATCCCCGAGCCTGCAGGACCTGCTGGGGCTCCTACCTGGGCAGGCACTGTTAAAGGGCGGGTTGAACGCTTTCGGGGGCAGCTCAGCTGCATTCTTCTCCAGATCCACTGTGAGTCGCTGCATCTTGATGCAAAAATACAAACTACAATGTACAATCATACAGAGACAGGGCAGCTTGTTAGAACTAGGATGTTCCTGGAGGTCAGAGCTTTAGCAGCGCTGCATAGTCTCCACCAGCAATGCCCTCTCTGGCCTCTCTCTCCTCCCAACCCTGTTAAAATAACACACAGCGTGTGCTCAAAGGCAGCTACACCTGAAGGAGAGGGCCGGTGAACACGGAGCCCCTTGCTAGCACTGCTCTGTATGGGGTGATGCTCATGTCTTATGCAGACACCAAACTAGCACCACTGTGACCTGGCTGCTGCTCAGAGCAAACCCGCAGTTCTTGGCAGCCAGCAAACACAACTTGTTATTAGTTTGCCACATGCACCTCAAAAACGCCAGCTGAATTTCTCCTGGTTTCCTCTGTGCAGGCCTGAATCATCCTCTATTCTAACTGGGTGTGTGTTCCCTCCCCTGAAACATGCAGGGGTGGCTGCATTTTATAAAGACACATTTTTAAGGGCTTTGGCACAAAGGTGTTTTATGGATCCCCAGCACTGTTAGGAAGCGATGCAGTTAGGTTTCAAAAGAACAAGCGAGTGACAGACACACCAAGGCGGAAAGTCTGAGGGAGCCACTTTTAGTTAAAGGACAACACATGTCTCGAAGGGAGCTCTGCTTGAACGGGAAAAATAGGTCATGAGCACAAAGCATCGCTGCCGGCCGAACCTCCGGAGCTGCCCGCTCTGCTCTGCCACCCGCTTCCCCTCACTGCGGAATAACCTGTCATTCTGCAGCAAGGCACAAACTCCGTCCACAGCAACATCTGCTTCGTACTTACATTATTATCCCAGAAACACATGGCTCTTACCGGGGACAAACTGGCTTCCATCTCGGTCAAATTCCACTCGTTCAGGGACAAATTGGGATTAAAGACCTGCGGGCACAGAAATGCAATTAGGGCTCTGAAAGGTGCGATGGCTCAAGACCCTGGTGCCCTCAGCTGCTGCCCCGATGTATTAGTTAAAGCTAGAGATGAACATTTGTTTGCGTGGGCTTGGGGTAGACCTAGAAGAGCAAGGGCCTTGGTGCCAGGCTGGTGCCTTCCACAGGAGGGACAGGGCACATGGAGCAATGCCCAAAACCAGGGCAGCAATTCAGCTCCATGCACATGTATCTCACAGCCCTGCTTTTTCTGCTCTTAGGTCATAGGGTTGCTTCCAGATTCGTGGGTTTTTTTTTTTTGTAAAAGTGGTGTCCCAAAACATGGCAACAAAGGGCAAACGGCTGCGCCAGCCCCTCAGTGAGGATTCCTGGAGCAGTCTGCACAATGCGGGACACGGGGCTGCTTGTCCAGACCACAATTTCACGATTCACTCCCCTTCTCGCACTGTGCAGTTACACAGAGAGGGGAAAGTGGGTCAGTAACAGGAAAGCACCTCCCAAAAGGGAGTGAAGCAGCAGAAACCACTGTACCCAGTGACAGCAGACCACTAAAAAAAGTGTCTCAAAGCCCAAATCAATCCCGCTTTGGTTCTAAAAGAATAAAAGTAATTTTCTATGATCTCCCATTCCTGTTTGTCCATGCAAATTCACCGGGTGCTTAAACCTCAAGCATCTCCAGGGAATACATGTTCTCTGACAGATGGATTCTTCTCCTGCATACAGCTATTTTTGCATATCTTTGCTGATAATCAAAGAGAGGTAGAGAAAAAAAAGGGAGAGCAAGAAATAAACCCTTATATTTATGTGTATATATTTAAGGAAAAAAAAGCCACCACTCCTTTTCAGAGAAAAGTGCTCTTCTAGAATTCTGGAATTCAAGGAAAAGTGGGAGGTAATAGAGCTAAAAATCAACGCAGGAGCATCCAGATGCAGAATACGTAAAAAAGAAACCACCATCCTCTGATGCAATTGCTCTGAAGCAATTAACAAACTAGCTACAGAGCCGTATTAAGTCTATTTTTTGTAAGAGCGGGAGCCCAATCTTGCCTTTACAGTCTTGCCTTTACCAAACGCACTGTGCTTTGTTCTCCTAGGGTAAGGAGCTGAGAAACACATATTTTCACAAGAAAAACTGCAAGACCCTGCAAGCAGGTCCCGCCAGGCACCGCGTGCGCGTTGGCCACAGGCCACGGACCCAGCGTCACCCGAGGCCGCGCAGGAAGCGGCGCTGTGGCCC